TGTGCGGGGGTGATTAAGGAGGCGAGGAAGTAAAGTTAAATGAAAAATATTCTTGGAGAAGGGAAGCTGGAAAGCAGGGGTGGAAAAGTTGCTGGGGCTGGGTGGGAGGGTGGAGGTGGCCCTGCACGTCTGCTGGAGGTGGCATGGGCCGTTGAGTGGCAGCCCTGCTGCTAGCTGGGGCTGGATGTTGAACAAATCTTAATGCTGTTGTTTCACCAAGGTGGAGTCCAGGAGAGGTGTTTTAGTTTGAAGCTAGCAGCAAAGAAAGTATAGACAGTTCAAGCTCCAGTTCAGCCTGGGACCATGACAGCGAGCCCCCCGCCAGCGTGTTGTGGGATTTCTTAGGGGGCAGCTGGAAGGACCATCAAGTCCCTGGTCTTTGACCTGGACCATGTGCCTGGGAAGGGGACCTGGGCCTGAGAGATGCCAGAATCCCATTTCTGTCTTTAGGGACAGCAGTGATGCTGCTTTGCCTCAACTCATGTTAGTGGATCCACTTCAAGCTCATAGTGGTTTTGTAACTTTGTGCCACCCTGTCTGCCATCCCTGACCTAGCGAGCCTTACTTAATGCCCGTACATCTATTTTCATTTTCTAAGGCCGTATTCGTCACCTAGAATTTGTGTCCATCCCCTGAGCAGTGTTTGGCTCCTGCAGGAGGCAGCAGTAACTGACTTTGGATGCACGTTCCCATTAGACCTGCCAGCCCGGCGTCTGGCTCCTCCAAATAGTTGGCTCTTGGATCATGGGAGACAGCCTGTCCGAGCTCACTGCAACAGCTGGTGCCAGCCAGCTCCTCGAGGACTGGTGCCAGCAGCAGGAGGAGTGTGCCAGGGCCTGCTCATCAAACAGACCGGCAGCCTTCCCATGGCTGCCACCGAGGGACAAAGGGAAAAGCAGCAGAGCAAGGCCCTCTCAACGTGGCACCTCGTGGGAAAGGCAGGCGTGTGCCTTTCGAAAGGGGATGCAAGCTGGAGGATGAAGAGCTGCTGCAGGTCCTGGTGACCTCGGTAAGTGGCCTTCCCTCTCTGCTGCCGTTTCCCAGCTGGTGGGAAGCATGTGATACTCACCGGCCTCTGGGAAGCACTCGAGACTTATGAATGAAAAGCAGATCACAGCGGTGAAGCAGCAGTGTTTACTTTGGGGTCTGCCCTTGGCTGCTTCCTCGCTTTCTAGAAGTGGTTCTCGCGGGGACATGGGTGCATGCTCACACGAGGTGGTCCTGGTGTTTGTCTTCCCTCACATGGCAGAGCTCTGCTTCTCCTGAAGGTTGCTTGGCTGCCTTCTATTAAGTGATGTGACCAGCATCTCTCTCGTGTAATTCTCTTCCTCCCACTGGAAAAACTGTTTGTTTATGTCATTTAAATAAATATTTAATATCTTTCATTCCTGTCTACTGTGCTGCTTGTTTTTGTTATTGAAGGGGAGGTCAGAGTTCTCTGAGTAGGAAGTGGTGAGAGAGAGAGTGAACCCGCCATCCCCTGGGAATTGCTTCCATGTATTTCACAATGGTTCCTAAGAAAGTGCTGTTTACTGCACAGATGTGCTTGAAACCGATGTGAGAAATAGAGCTCTGAACAACAGCCTTTTCCCGGCATTGCTGGTACACCCTGGGCATGGCTCCATGCCTGCGCTCAAGGCACAGACAACACTCATGAATCTGACTGTATTTGGTGGGAAACCAACAGGGAGCATGGAGAAAAGGTTTAATCTGATCACAAATCAAAATGTAAATGCAAGTGGGGATCCTACTTCAAAGTCCATACAAATGACTCACAAGTAATTTTTATTTTTTCCACAGCCAGTTAATATTTCTGAGGTATCTGGACACAGTGCACTGCAAGCACCAGAGCAGGCTTTGACCCCATGCCTCATCCAACTAGTTAGCACTTACCATGCTGAGAGCACGTGTAAGAGGATCTGGGGCTCCCAGTGCTCCTCTAGTGTTGTCTCCGACACTGTCTAATTTAAATTAGACAGTTATCAAAGGTCCTCAGTGATGTTGGATCTCCTGTTCTCTTGTGCTTGGGCTTTCCTACCTGCCAGCTCTTGGGTAACATGCTGCCCAGCAGCATGGGTGATTGAGGCGGGGCGGAGTCTCCTAGATCTTCTTCATAGGTTTCCACCAAGGTGGAAGAGTGGAAACCTTCATGGAAGATCTAGGAGACTCCCCCCCCATCACCTGTGCTGCTGGAATTTTAAAGGAGTCAGCACTGCACCTCCCACTTTCTGGGTAAGGTATGATCCATGGGATTTCATAGTGGGTGAGCAGGTGGATGCAGATGAGTTTTATGGTCCAATGCTGCATGCTCAGAGGAAGAAAGCTGGATCAAAGTCCCTTGGGACCAAGGGTGAGCGATCCTTTATGTCCCCTTGGGGGGTACTGGGAAGGCAGGAAGGGAGGGAGTCTCTACAAGCCCATCAAGGCAGGGGCTTTGTTGAGACATAACACTAAATAAAAGATTTAGATTGATAAACTGACTGTGTCTGTTGTGTCAGACGAGTTTTGGGAGTGTGGCTCACACCTTTGCTGATGTCACACCTTTGGGGGATTAGAGGCCCTGCAGCTGCTTTGCTCCTGTGGAATTGTGCATGTGTGCTTGGATGTCCCATATGAGGATCTTACAGCAAGAGCGAGGTTTTGGTCCATATAGAAACCACAGTGGCCTACAGTTTTGAGGGGGCAGTGTTGGAAGAGCAGCAATCCCAAATAACCTGTAGCAGGTGGGTGTCATTGTATAGCTAGGTTCCGTACATGCAAGTCAGCCGTATTTGGCAGAGCAGCCCTAAGCCATCACCTGTGTCTTTATTGTGGGATGACACCATTTAGATGCATTCCACATGAAATCACATGAACACACTACAAAATTATATATCAAGTCTCTCTGTTACAGCCACGGGTTTGAGATGAAAAATCACATTTTCTCTAATTCAGACATGAGAAGTTATTTAGTCATGTTTGTCATTAGATAGTCATTATTGCTGCTCAAATTAGTTGTCATACCATACATAATAATTGTTACCAATTATTTTTCCATTTTTAAAATGTAGCAATAAGTGGACAACAAGGTTTTACATAACAGTCAAGGAATCTGGTATTCTGGAAAGAGGGGGACAGTAATCTCGGAAAACAGTTCCTCATCACTTTGGGATTGCTGGTTGGTCAGTGAAGCCTCCTCTGCTTGGGGAAGCACTGGGGTTGTTGTACCAGTGATATTTAGCAAGTCCAGTAGGATGTTGCTGAGGAGGGTGCAGGAAGGTAAGATCAGGCCTTCACAACCTTGACTACAAGTTGGTTCTCTGTGGGGAATGTGGTTCTTAACGTAGGGGTTACTGCTTTGCTTTGTTTGCCTTGGTTCTGTTATTCAGGCAGTTTTTTGTATCTGGCAAACCCCTCCAAACCTGAAGAAGTAGCCAACAAGCAAACAGTTAAAAGAAATATCAAAATAAAATATTTCTGATAGATTTCATAAAGGATGAGTTATAGCAGAAAAAAATATTTTGGTTGTAAATATATTGTACTTCATTCTTCAATCCAGTAATGTATTTTTATTTATCTGAAAAGATTTAAGATGGCCCAAACTGTTTGGATGGCATGTAGAAAGCATTCCAGTTTGACAGAAACTTGAATTGATTACTTTGCTGAGGGAGGGAAAAAAAAAAAGAGTTTTATTTAAATCAACTTTAAAGCTTTATTTTAAAGGGTGGATAATGGTAGCTGGAGAATACGCTCTGCCTTCCCTTCACATTGCAGCTGGACAGCAATAGCCAGCCTTCACTTATTTATTTATTTCCTGCACAGAGGGGAGGAAAATATAGGTCCATGAATCAATCTAGATAATGGGGAAGGCTGAATGTAATAAATAATACAGTAACAACCCTAAACTAATGAGCTGTTGCTAAGGTACATTTCACAGGCTCATCCTCTATATAAAAAGTCACTAATAATCCCTTGGTGTAATCAGATGATAAAGCTTTGCCATAAGGCAACACCTGTGCAATTAAAGCCGCAGATTCTTTTGCACGTTTCATTAATTTCAGGATTTTGTAAAGGCACAATGACTACCGTAATAATCTAGTCTACTTGACTCCATGTCTACTGGAAACAGGGTGTCTAATTAGGTAAAGGTAATTAATTAGAGATAAATGGAGCTAATCAGACTCAGTTAACACTAATTCTCTGAATTAAGACATTTTGGGACACCTACTATTCCACTGGCTTTGATGTTTCCTAACAAACATTGACTTGGAAAGGAGTCAGAAACTGCTACATTTATTCTGCTGGAGATCATCAGCCCAATTCAGTAGCACCACTTGCTCACTAATCTTGTTGGGGGTTGAGGGTACTCTCTGAGCTGTGCTTGCCCCCGTGGGTTTGCTGGGAAAGGCATTCTTTACACCTGGGAGGTGTTGGGGGCTTGGTTTGGCAATCCTGGGAGCCATTTGGTCTCTTTTTACTGGCTTCTGCCAGCATTTTTCTGGCTGTGATGTTTTCCCCTCAGCATCTTTCCTTGCTGTGGGCAGATTTTTAAATTCTGGGATGTGCTGGTGTTTGGAAAGGCCACCATAACCTCCGCTGTGGACAGCATTCAAGGTGCAGAATGCAGTGCCTCTACTCATGGAAGAGAGGAGGATCAAAATAAAAAAAATAAGGCAAATTTAAAAGAAATTTGGATTACTTAGTGAAAGGATCAGGATTTCACAGGTGGTCTATGCATTTGTAACTCTTTGGAGGCCATGGGTCTGTTCTGGTGAGGAATCAGATGCTGCCCATCTTGCTTAGGTAACGAACTACATTGGATTCAGGTGCCAGGACTAGGGGGCAGGAATAAGAAGAGTGGGGCAAGAGTTAAGGAAGAGACCCAAGTGCTCTACCATTGTGGAGTTCCTGCATGTCTCTATTGTTAGAGCTGTACTAGGGGAGTCCTGTTTTGCTTCTTTTCTCAGGTATTTGTTACTTCCTGACATGAATTAATGTGTAGTACTGATGGTAGATGTGGTAGAAATATGCTGTGACAGGCATATGCCTATACTGCAATGATAGTGTCACCACTACTGGCTCTGTTAGTGTTTGGGGATGAGACCATGCTGGGCATATGGAATAAGTGTGTTTTAGAAAGTATTTGCTCTAGTCTCTGCATGATGTTAAGCTACAAAGAAAGATAATTTCCCCTCCCCTATGGATGGTCTGCTTGTTTCAGCTCTAAAGCACGGCTGATGGAGAGTTCTTCATCCATTGCTTGAATGCTAGGCAGTGTGGGATGTACTCTCATCTCCCGCACTGAATGAGGACTGGATATTTTTTTTAAACCTTTATTTTTAAAACACCTAAGCTGATGTTGTGCAGTGTAGTACATAAATAACAAGAGTGAGCCAGGAATGAGCCCTTATAGGGTGAGCTGTAGCCTGAGGTAAGTCTCCACCAGCTGAGCTACACTACCCTCACTAGAAGAGATGAAATAGAAATGTCTGAATACTTTTATTACCAGATAGTTTCTGGATTGACCTTTCAATAACTTATTAAACTACAGAAAATATTCTGTTTTCTAGATGTGAAAGACCTGCTGGGTCATATAGTCCACAAATGTACCTCTGGATATTTTTAATCACAGCTTGGTGACTTTGGGCTTTCAGGAGCAGATGAGGCTTGGGCCCTGCTGTTTGAAAAAAAAACTTGCATTTTCAAGCATGGGCAAATCCTGGTTAACAGTTGCAGAGGGCTGTGGATAAGAGGGAACCATTGTGGCCACATCCTCCAGGGAAAGAAAAGGAATTTGGATGTGTGTCCCCAGTACAGCAGGGAAGCAAACTGCTGTTGTCCCCTGGCTTGGCTGCACCTTGTTAGCACACAGCCAGGCCGGACCCCAGGAGGAGGGCAGCCACTGCTACCCGAAGCTTTTGGTCAGGGCTGTAGAGCAGTCATGTGAGAGTCAGTCCTGGGCCTGATAGGCTCACAGTAATTGAGCCCTCTTTGCTGTTGAGGTTACCAGTCAATGCAATCTTCAACCACATTTGTTTGTTTGTTTGTTTTTTTTTTTTTTTTTGTATCATATGAAATTCAAGATAGTTTCACGCTCCAGCACGTCAGGTTTCAAGTCTAGTTGCTAGTAAAGTCATCTGATGCGCTTGTCCTTTTGAACATAACCCTGTCTGTTGTCTAGGCTTCCTGTGCTTTGAGGAGGTCTAGTTCAACACTGTGCAGGGTGGGAGATGTCAGGGGGGTCACACAGCTGCTGAAGCCCTCCTTGGGCTGACCACCATGCATGTGCAGTGCTGAGTGCCTCGGTGGTGGGAGGGTGAGCTGAGCCTCTTGAGTGCCTGGAAGCTCTGGGTACGGTG